CACCGCCACCACCACCACCACCATCACCCGTCATATCCGCCTTCAGTGCATGCACTAACTTCGCACATTCTTTCACGAATGGGCCTATTTGGCTACATGCACCTCCACGTTAATTTACGGCAATTCAGCGCAGGCTTAATCGCATTCTCCCCACATTAATCCTCCATCTCCATCCAGTACCGGCACCCACGTAAGTGTGTTCTTCGGATCGTCTCCCTGTGGCTTCTCAACTACGCAAATCCTGGGTAAGTCTAGGCTGTGACCAGGTGGCGTATGATGGGGTGTAGTGACACGTAGGTCCACGCCGTGAGTGTCGAGATCCGTGTCGTTGTACTTATCCTCTCACTGTTTGTTATGAACGAATGAGCGTGGTGGTGCGCTTAGGTGTGGATATTCACCGTGCCAGTCGTCTCCATTTTTCTTGACCCTGTCATGATGCAAGGCCCAGTTGAGAGGGGAGGCGACAATGCGGTAAATGCAGCGCACGTCACAGCCTTCATGTGCTGTAAGTCAGCGTGTGGGCGATTACTTATATTAATTAAGAACACGCATGTACGCTCGAATTTCATTCCATAAACAAGAATCAGAGATAAAAAGACGTTTTTATTTTGTCAGTTGAACGAAGAAAGCATTATTGGTTCAGAAACTCTCGAGTATGCCTACCATTTTTCTTGCACCGCTACCTACAAGAGAGATATTGGTGACTTCGTATATTGCTCGGAAATAGAAATATTCAAACATTACCAGTGGTCGGTTGACTAAGAGTTTGTAGGACTAATACAAAAGCCATCATGTGAATGTTGCCACAAATACATATGCTGAAGGGCAAATCACTGCTGCCCCTAAATCAGTGTGGTGCCAATATCACTTTGTTCGACTTCAAAACCACAAGAATAGACCGCCTGGAAAAACTATGATTTCAAAGGTACGGTCCATGATTGAAAGTCGCTTCTTACAAATGTTTTAAGACACGAACTTCCGAAACGTCTTCGAAAACGTTCTCATTCTAATTCAGCCCTTCAAGCTACTCTTAATGACACAACAACACCGTAAATAAGTCTGCCGATGAAGGCTAACTATGCCACCATTGCAGTAAGAGTCCTTTCTAAAGTACGGTGCCGAAGATTGTCTCTTGACAGTTTGCTCTTATTAAGGTTAGCATTTAAGGAGACAGTGTGGATGTAGTTGCCCAATGGGGCAACTTGTTCAATTGCCTTGTTTACTTGCTTAGCGGAAACATTGAACTAGTGTGGGACTGATAAACATAGAATGAGAGGGTCCTGCATATTTTGTCATTGACAGTTTGGTGGTTTAAAACTATGTGCTCGCTGTTTTAGACTTGTTAACATTGAATGTGCTTAGGTTCAATCATATTTATTTAGAATGGACTAATGACAATTAGGCTCAACTTTACGGTAAGCCATTCAGAGCAGCCACGTTCAGCATTAGTAGCCTTTGCCACTGATATCGTGTTTTGGTAAACTAAAATTTATCTGCGTATGAATTTTACTTTTCATCAGGAAAATTGTTTAATACATATTTTGGGCTTCTGTAATTTGCATAAATACTCGTATCGACTAATCGAAGAATGTGATTCCATAAGCAGAAGCAAAAATTTGACGTTTTCCAACAGTTATTTTTGTTTTACATTGCAAATTTTTGAAACAGGCATGACATTCGCCGATCTCCAAGCCCACGAGACTTCCGTTGAAAGTGTGTTATGTATGGGTGGAGATAAATTTAAGACAACACCTAGCCTTTTCCAGAATTGTAAGCTAAAATGTCAGGCGTCAGACACTATAAGTGACGATACAATATCTGTCTTTCAACTTACACTAGAAAAGCAGCAAACGCATTATATGGGCTTTCGTTGGGGATCGGGAAAACTAATCTTAGCGCGTTATCCGCACCTAAAATTTTAACTAAAACAAGCGTTTTACTTAGACACCATAAGTAGGCAATAATACAACCTTTCCACTAAACGCAGTGTTGACAGGGCGATTCAAATCAAACCGTCAAAAGTAATTTCCGTCATACGATTCAGCCGGATAAATGAACTCAACTCTGTGTGGCCTAAATTCCCTGCTTATCAGAGTCCGGGCCCGATTCACACTTACGTGGTGACGCCAACGTGGCCAAGATAATGCTGGCTATTTAATTGAATGTCATATACGTTAAAGTTGACTTATGTAATCATCCCTTATGACCAAAAGAAGTCAGCAACTTTCATCTGATTGATTTCGGAATAACATAAGTGCATCAGGCAAAGTTTCCTCGTAGATTTATGCCAGCGCGTTCTACTCCAAGACGAACGCTTTCTTTCCCGGTCACATAAGTAACACGATTTATCATTATTTAGTCAATCTCGAATGAGCTCTGCTCAGGAAAAGTAGTATTTAGCTAAATCCCTCAATTGTGCTACGAATTAAATATCTGACGACTTGTCGCTTTGTCTAACCATTTGCTAAAGGAAACGAAACGGAAAAAGGAAAGCTCGTTATTATTGACAATATAAAATGACGCAGTGTAAGCAAAATAACCTTAAAGGATAAATCGGCGACAACGTGCATCTTAAGACAGGAAAAATATATCGAAGCATAAATAAGGGGTACGCGGACTTTGCTCTGAGAACTAAATGCTGGTTATATTTATAGTGCTTCACACACTAGATCTCTGGTTAAAGTAGTAGAAGAAAAATGTCTGATTTTGTTCAGATCACTTTAGGTTTCATCCGGACAAAGTGCTTCTGTGTTAATCCATAGGTTCGGAGTTTACATTAGGATCTTCTAAGTATGCCTCAAATATTAAATTTCTTGTAAATAGTCTCTTTAGCATGGTTAAGCCAATTCAGTAGTGTTAACACTGGTCGAATGGATTTCGGCCAATCAGAATTGGCAACACGCCAACGAATCAAAGTACTGCACAGATTTGGACATGAGGACGAACAAATTGTTGAGGGATTTGGCCAAATCAATGGCACTCTCCTGCCAAGGCCCTGTGGAGGACAAACCAGAGAGGATCCAAGTTGTCGATTTGGAAAAGACAGTTAAAGAATGGGCTTTGAACCACTTCAAAAAGTACACAAATGTGAAGCGAAAAAATATGGATATACAGATAAACTGGAACGACGTTGACAGTAGGAGTGAAATGGTCTTCTGCGCAGACGTAAAGTCGGATAATGGAACAGAAAATGAAATCTCCAACGAGTCACATTCTACTGGCCACGATAACTGGCTCAATCAGCATGTCCTATTCAGCATGGAATATGTAAATGACACGAATGCGAAACAGGAATACACGTTTCATACGGATCGTACAACCCGGAGGGTTTTCGAGATTGAGAAGTCCAAAGGGTTCTCCTGCAGGAAAGAAGTCGGAATAAAGCTACAGGTACCACAGTATTTCACTAAAACACTTTTAATGTTTCGGTTTATTGTTAGTTACAAATAGTAATTGACATTTCTTGAATAATGTCGTATCTTTCTGTTCTGGAGTACGCAAAGTTGAAATATACATTAGCCAATGTTGTTCACGACAAGTCCGGCTATAAATTAAATGCCAAACGATATTGACAGCTTTTTAATTTCCTCGGAAATTAACTGCTAACTTGGAGTTCATCAGTCTGTTCTAGGTCTATAGGATCAGACCAAAGTTTTTATGTATGAGTGGACTTCGGCATAAATATTCATACGTGAAAACCTCGCTTCGGACCTATAGACCTAGAATAAGCTGATCTACTCCAACCTTACAGTTAATTTCTGAGGAAATTAAAGAGCAGCAATTTGTAAATTGGAGTATCTGTCAGAAAACAGACGGGGAATGCTGGGTGACCCGCTGATGAGCCGAACCCTTCTCATCTGTGTCATGCAGCGGCATAATATCGGCAACTCACGCGTGCATAGGCTTTTGGCTAACACCTTTGCTGTTAGTATGGTACCCATTACCCCAAGGATATTGACGAAATTAACAGCAGGAGCATTTAAAAAACACCTGAGTTAGTATGACCTAAATATACAAACATAAGCAACATGATGTACTATATCAGACAGCTGAACATTACTTTTTCGGAAAGAGTGACAACGGAATTGAATAGCTTTCAAACAACTGTATTCTATGCATTACGAAGCCAAAAAAAGTTGTCAGGAAAAAATAAATGTTACAATCATAATTCGGTTGTGTAACCGTATCAGATGCAAGTCCTTTTATATACTGGATACGCCAGAAGAAACGCTCATTATATGAAAAAACACTGTCAGCGTCATGCGTTAATATGTTTTTAATGTAGTGAAAAATGGAATACGTGAGGGTTATGGTTGTGGTGGAAACAATGAGTTTTGTATAAAAACTTTACTATGAAACAGGTTACGATCTCTTGGCAACGGGCGTCCTCTAGCTTAAAAAGTCTGTCAACTAACACGGTATAATGCCCCACAGTAATGTGCAAAACAATATTTTTGAAGCTAGGACTTGGCATTGTTCATCCTTGCATCCGGAGCCATAGATGTATTTCGACCACAAAACAGCAGCATGACTTTAGCCCATTTTAGCCAAACACATTCGCATTTCACAGTTTAAAAACAACACAGCTGTAGACAAGGAAATTTGCTCTTTATTATTAATATCTACCTGAAATGGCGTACTTTACTGCTGAAAACTCAAGTATAGTTCCTGCACTGGTTCATATTAAATCAAAGCAAAAATCTGTATACCTTAGTAGTCGAGTGACATATGAATTGGCTTGTAGCCGCGAAGGTCCTTAGATATATAGCTTGCAGTGATGGGCTATTATCAGATTGGTTTACGCTTGATGATGTTTAGTCAGATGTCCTACTTAGGTCATGACCGCAGACTGTGCTCATTTAACATCCAACCCATATTTGGTCACTTTTGGAATTGCTACTCTAACTGCCTAAAGAAAAGTCAATAAACACTAGGTAAACATAACTGGGGGGCACTCTAAAAACAGCAGCGTTTAATTGCGTATCTCGGGCCTCACCTGTGGGCAGCAACATGGCAGTTTTCAGTAGTAGTGAAAGGGCATGTAGGCTTATTGATAGAGTTCTCTGCAGGTTATTGCTGGGAACTAAGACTACAGACTTCTGCTACGATAACATCAAGGGCCGCCAGCCGGACATTCATCACCACATCACTCCACGCCATTCCGCGATTAAGGCTCTCTGATCACGAGTTTAGCCATTTCAACTTCATTAAGATTTTCAGATGTTGCATTCATTTCAACCGGTTACAGAAAGTCTCACTAACTGGCTAGATGCCTAACTTCATGATTTTTACGTCTACATGATAACGCAGGAAGAAAGTTTCTGAATAATCTGAGAAGGCGCCATGCTTTAGCGCAATTTAAAATAACAGAATATTCAACATATTTAATAAACTTTGGTTGAGATTTCGCAAAACCGCTGTTTTTGAAGATTGTTTATATAATGTTAACCAAAGGCTGGCACAGACTGAAACATGGACAGCCGTTTTGGTGCGGCATTTGATGATCGATTAGTCTTTTATTATAAAATGTCTCAGGTTGTAGAAAACTCTAACTTGGCTTCATTTTGAGCAGAACATTTTCTACACGATTTCCTAAATTCCAGTCTTCGAAAGGGACAGTACATTTGCTAAGTCAAAATGTCCCTTATACAACCTTGGGAAGACTAGAGGTAACACATTTCATTTTAATGATGAAATAGACTTTTGATATGCAGACCAACACTGTGACTATTTATATCTAGTACTTATAAACCTTAGTGAATTACTAGAGAAATACAAACGCACGAACATGCAAAAACTAGCCAAACTTTCCGAACGGAAAGCATTTCCATTTGCAGAAGGACGGTCAAGTGTTTTAATAACGTGCATGCACAAATAAGCGGAAGAAAAAGGCGGTGGCAAATTATCTAGGCAAACAGGCGTTCGTTTGCATTGGTGTTAAGAAGATCCATACAATAATTTCGGTATGTAACTACCAGAACAGTTCAAATGTCGAAAGGAATAAAAGTGATGTAAATAGCAAAAGACACAGGGACAGTAATTAGCTAAGCGTATATCGGGTCAGGCCGACAGTTTCAACTAACGAGTGGCAAAGGTAAACCCTACCTCGCACCTAATTCTTTAAACCCAACGACGTTGGCCTCATTTAAAATGCCGGTAAGGACTAGGTTTGCAGTTTTGAAGATAGATTTTTCGACTCAGACATTTATCGGATGTGTTTTATAAATTTTTGGCTAGCCTATTTTTCACATAGCGCTTGCAAGTATCCAAAATTAATTTAAGTATATTAAGCATGGGAGTTGAATACACCTAGTACGGTATGCCCTGAAACTCGCGAAATACTGAAGGAGATGTTTGGTATGCTTTCATATAAAACAATACTTGCGTTCGGCTGAAAAGTTAGACATATGTGAACAAATGTTTGTTATTAACGTAAAAACAGACGAAAGTGCCAAGTAATCATTATTTGTGAAACAGTTGAGTGTACCTTGAACTGGATGTATATCGGTTTTAAAACTAGGCAATCCCGTAAATGCTGACATGCAATATTTGCTTTCACACTCTCGTATTTTGAAATTGATTGTTCTGTAACCTCTTTTGATGTTGTCGTGCGCAACCCCAAACGTTCGCTGAAAGTAATCTTCCGCAGAGACCACCCCGTGCTCGTAAATTATTGTAATAGGCATGGATCAGGCGAATGTCTTTTAAGCAACACTGCCACACCCTGTGTCAGTTGGCCTTTTGAATAGCAAAAAATGGCTGACAATCAAAATCTTTTTCAATAGCATAAAATCGTTCTATATAAAAATTATGAAAAGTACACAACTTTCCATAAAATGCGACTCATATGAAGGCTTAAGCAGTTTATTACAAAAAAAAACAATCTGAAATGCGCAATACATAGGCATTTATGAAGTGTGTACTCAGTATAACTATTGTGGAGAACGATCTATTAAAAATCGGTACTAGGCATACTTCAAGTGTACCAACGATTAGGCTTCCCATAGTTAATTTTGACTCATGCGCCAGATATATTTTCCATCTGAAGGGTAAATAACCATTTCCACCAATGGTTCATCAGTTTCGTTGTATGTAATGCTTCTGCTTGTTCGCAAAGCTATGGCCTTGAAAATGAAAGCCAGATTTCATCATGTTCACTGTTTTACAAGCCAGTGTTCCGTTTAAAATGGATGGTCCGGCTTCTTTTGTCGTATAATTGAAGTCGTGCAGAGTTCACTGATTTTTCTGATTTGTAAGCGATATTCAAAAATCAGGTTTACATTTCCCCTGAATTGAGAGGAGAATCAAGTTACGATCCCAATACTAAATAGGATGTTACACTTACCTAAGGGTCTCATCGCCCATCTGCGTTAACATCATTCGAAAAAAATCTCAAAATAAATTGGCTTTTAATTGATTTTTGGAGTTTTGTATAAGTCAAGTCACATTTTTCCGAGAAGAATGCGCGAGAATTGGGTGATGGCGAGTATACTTCCTCTAAATCTAACATTCCACCTCTTAGTAATGGGTATTTTCGAAAATCACACATCGGTACTCCCTGTTCTAATGCCGAAAAATTTCAACTGCCATTCATGGGGTTTTCATGCAATTTATATTGATGCAATATTATATGCGCATCAATAGGTCTCTTTCTAACTGCACAAAGAAATATCGAGAGAAAATATTTGACGGCAATTTGTGGAATCTGATGTTTTGTTGATATGACTCATTGTTTTCAAAATTTAGCGAAGATAGCACACATATTTATAATTTATTTATAATTACATATGGGTTCTGAAACAAAAATAATTTTCCACGAAATGTGCATGTTCTCTAGAAGGCATTGCGTGATGGTTAAATTCCCTCTATGACGCAAACCCTACACGCTACCTAAGTAACGAAACCTTGTAAACTACTCCTTATTTCTCACGCGAAAATGTTCCATTTTAATGAATCTTGCCACCCTATTTACGCAATACTTTAATCTTGGAAGTATTTCAAAATAGTTTAACCATGCTTTATTAGCTTTTGCGGTATTCCCCAACCCTTTCTTGCATAAACTAGGTTTAAGTTTTGTATTTAGGCTCCTGAACAACTACTAGAGGTGACGGGCAACTATTCGCAAGAACTGACTCTCAACAAGGCCTCTCGACACTCGTTTGAGGAAGAATTGACCTGGGGCACAGATTACACAATTGGTGTTGACCCGGACTGCACTGCGACCGTGATGGTACGAACTACCTCTTTGTACTCCTTAAAACTTTACGACAAAGGGGTTTTCACTTCGAGCGTCATTTCATGGTTGAGATTAAATGCATTAAGTTTACCTTTGACTGACAGGTTTTTATTTTGACTGGACCTAAAGAATTTCTCCATGTATATCGGAACACTGATATCTTTAGCAATAATTATGCTTCAGAAATATAGAAAGGTTACTTTTACCTTACTCCGAGGTATGCCCTAGGTAGTCATGTGCACATTAGACTGCCTGGTTTAATTTTCTAACAGTTATCTCAGAAAATACGTCAAGACATCGATTTGGCCACTTCATAATTTACTACCAAAATTTTGTATTTTTGTGACGAACGTTACAAAAAATCCTGTATTTTACATCCTAAAAATATCTGAAACATGACTGCAGTCGTTTAATAGGTGACCGCTTCAAGTAAACTTCTTACGACGCCAGAAATCAGCGTCAGTCTTACTCAGTAAACCTCTTCCGGACATTAATTTTAGTCTATGCACTAAAAGCATTGCACAGGTGGTCAGGGCGAGAATGTACTTCTGAGTCGAAACGATGGAAATTGACGACAATCCAAGAACTACTCATAAGGTTGGGCTTTTCTATTGATTATCGCATGTGATTATCTTGATCAAACTGTCCAACGGCCGCGATCGCGACTGCGTAGGTCTGGGTAATTACAAAGTCAACACGACACGGGTTCAAGTGCAGTTGAATGAGCTATATGCAAAAAATGATGCATGCCCAAACCAGAAGTTAGCCAACGCTAGTAGTTGGGCATCGCTGACTGATGACAGTTAGTGAGTCAACTTCAGCGTCCCCGTATTTGCGGTCCCCATATGCTTGCAGGTTACCATGGGACTTTGAAATAAGGTCAAAAGAATACCAGTTTTTTCTCAAAAGCGGCAGATATTTTATTGCATATTAATAAGATCGTGTAAATTCAAACGTGCAACTGTAATGCGAGGATAATTTAATGTTTTTTAGTTAGGTAACTAGTGAAGATACTTTGAAGTGGGCTGGACTACCCTTTATATAGTTCATATATCGAATAAGCTCGCATACAAATGTAGTAACTTCGTATTTTAAGGACATTCGAGGTTGAAGGCCCACGATTCGCAGATTTTTGTTTGAGTATATGTTCTGTAAAATTGCACTATCAATCGTTCGTACTTTTGAGGGGATGGTCAAGTCAAAAGTGCGGTCACAAGCTTCCAATAAAATGCATATGAATATCTCATTGGACGCACTGCTCTCCCTCGAAATTACATTTAATTCCTGTTTGCTGCAGAAATGTCGTCTGAAAAATATCATGTTTAGTAGCGTGTTTGCACATTTTTCAGAAGCAGAGCGAAAAGATGGTTAAATCAAGCAATCAAGTGACCTGACGTGACCTCATTTAATTTCAAAATTTAATGGGACAGAGAATCTTTGAATGGGTCAGCGCAGGTCCGTTAGGCACATAGTTGCATCATGACCCGTCAAAAGGGCGTATCCTGGGGAAAGGAGCATTTTAAAGAAATTTCAAACTAAATTTCGGTCGAAAGGTACAAATTAGGCTTTCGAGGTCTACGGTCGTGACTTTGAGCCAACACGTGTTCTGCAGCTGCTGACCAATGGTCTAGCCTTTTGAATAAGAGCAAAGTTAACATTTTATTGACTAACCGAAGTCCTTTTTGTTTGCGAAGGTTGAAGAAGGGTACACGCCATGAGTCCATATTCGTGAATTTAAAGGTAGTTGCCTTTGACCGTTTGTTGCTCTTAGCTGTGAGCTGTCATCACTTCTGAACTGATGTGGTTGTCACAAAACCCATGTTTCTCTCAAATGCTGAACTCGCACTTTTATCCCCTCCTGTGTTGTACAGGAACTACTGAGGCGGAAAGCATCCTTGAGGGCAGAGATGTTGTACCCCTTGTTGCTGACATTATCGTTGGATGCTTGCCAAATTAACCGTCAGATATTAGTGACGGTCATGAAGGCACTGCGTTCCTTAGCCCCTTGAGCTCTCGTTGTGATTTCATGAACTTCTTGCTGGTGCTCGAAATGGGGATTACCTTTGCCAACGAGATAGCTGAGAAAAACACCCAACGATAAGTCTACCCATGAAAAATTATGTGTTCAGTGAATCGGGATATTTGGGGAGCAGATATGTGTGTTTACGTGACGTCAGAGTACAGTGCGACTGTTTGCAGGTCTTTGTCACTTATTCCTTCATTCCACTCAACGCAGAACTTTCTAATAGAAGATGATCCATATCTTTTTTTGTTTCTGATGATGGGTTCGAACAGGAATCCGAAACGGCAGGCGAATAAAGCCTTTGTTCCAGCGATCGTGTCATCTTCTTCGAGCGGAACTGTTTGTTAATCCAATTTCCCTACTACCACAGTTTTTCATTTCACCGACCGTAATTATTTACTAGACAGGAACATCATGTGAAAGCACGGAAGTGATTCTCTAGAGGATAGGCGAGCGATTGTTTTTACCAAAAAAAACAGCATGATTCTTGAATGTCTGCGTGTATAATTCTAATTCATCATGCCTGCTCGCTCTGCTGTGTAGCATACGGTGGACATCATCGGTCTCGATGGTCGAACTGTCATAATTATAACTACTTTATCAGGTTTTGAAGGTAATATAGTAACTGTGGACAAGTGATCACTAGAACGACCGGAGACAATTTCGGATGACGAAAAAACACTTGGCGGGGCTGGTAAAGTGAGCAATGGTAGGATAAAGAAACCGAAGAGAGCGCCTAGGGGTCGTTGGGGCATTTACTGTGGAGGATGAACCGTATGGGCCTCGTACTGCAGTAGACAGTGAGCTTGCAGTAGGGTCCTCTGCATCCTAGGAAGACTCCTTTCGAACAGACCCGTTCTTTTTACCATACAAGGCAAACACTCTCACAGCTGATACAAGCGAAGATGCGAGTTCCAGGATTCAAGTAAGAGTCCCAAACGTCAGGCGAATAAGGCCCTTGTTCCAGCGGTCGCTTATTCTTCTGATCAACTCTCACAGCTATCTGGTGCTGTGCCCAAACGACTTTGTTAGAACCTATTCGTTGTCCACTTTCCATCGGGCATCCAAGAATGGATTCATAAGTAGTCCTCTAAGCGCACATTGTTGGTCAAATGGGCAACAACTTTTTGAAATCCTGGTATGCTTTGCTACAGACGGTACCTTGAATGGGTCTACAACAGGGAGTGGCATGGAAAATTCTTGCAGGATGGCCTTCAGTTGGTACTCCTCTCTAAACAACCGGCGTGAATCTTGCCGTGAAAACATTCGCCACACACGCAACTGTTTTTTTTCAGAACTCATGAATTGTTCACTAGGCTTAGCAAAATTAGGCAAACAAACATTTCCTAGTTTCCGCAACTTAGGAAAAATCACATTTCAAAATTTCTTCAGTCGAACGAAGAAATTTTCTACTTCTAGTTCGATAAGAATGAAAATACTGAGAAGCTTGCGTAGATCTTAGAAAATTCTAATACCTGCACGGACTGATGGAGTGACTCTTAACGGCGCACCATTCAGTTTATTTGTAGGGATTAATTTGGAACCTATCTAAGCAATCATTTCCAGATGAAAACAGACCTAAGCAGTAGACATATTTTTCGGATGCAGACGCATGCAAAAAGTCCCAACATGACGCATGTGTGCGCAAAAATAGATAGTAAAAGACATGAACAGCACAAACACTAAAATAAATGCCTAGGATAGCAGTAAGATCATCAGAGCACAACTGTGGAATGAAGAGCAGCCAATCAAACGCTTCATGAAAGGCAAAGTCTTTAAAAGGTTATAATTACATACATACAGTAGATGTGCTAACTCGTGAAATGTCAACCAAAATTTCGAAATGCGTTCTCGTTTCGAAAAGATAAATTAAGTAGTGTTGTAAAATTAATCATGATGCAGCATAAATCTATAATGATCCAGTTACCGCAGGGTGTCCGGCTTTTGAAAGAACTTATTTTCGGCTGCGTGCAAGATCTATATACTGCAAAAAATGACTACTTGTTTAGCATGCAATTTTCTCATTGATTTTCAATGCCCTTGAAAATTCAATTATATTTCATGAAAAACATGCATAAAAATATTCATTCTTTTACTTATTCGGTAGAAAATCACGTCTTCTTCCAATTTTATAGTCAAAAGAAGAGTATAATTCGGTTTTAAAAAACTTTTCTAATTCCCGAATAATTTTGAACCCGACCTGCTGTTGCACTTGCATTCTGGGTTTCAAAACTGCAAGCTGTATATTTTCCGTGTACAGAAAACCATGCATTTCTCTACGGTGTTAAGAGGAGACAATATGAGTTTCATAAAATTAAGCAGTGGATTTGAGCAAGATTGTTAACTTTACAAGCCACCTTCGTAAATGCAGATACATGACGTTTCATGAACGGCTATTTAACGGTGTTAAAAAATCTCACAATTAGAAACTTTTGTAAAACCGAATTATACTCTTCTTTTGACTATGAAATTGGAAGAAGACGTGATTTTCTACCGAATAAGTAAAAGAATGAATATGTTTATGCGTGTTTTCCATGAAATATAATTGAATTTTCAAGGACATCAAAAATCAATGAGAAAATTGCATGCTAAACAAGTAGTCATTTTGGCAGAGTATAGATCTTGCATGCAGCTGAAAATAAGTTCTTTCGAAAGTCGACACCCTGAGGTAACTGGATCATTATAGATTTATGCTGCATCATGATTAGTTTTACAACGCTGCTTAATTTATCTTTTCGAAACGAGAACGCATTTCGAAATTTTGGTTGACATTTCATGAATTAGCACATCTACTGCATAGATATATTAGTAGGTGAAGGCAGGCTTCGCCTTCTCATTATATCACCTCGGAATGCGCACTACATCAGTTATTCAGTATGAATATATGCTTAAAGACAGGCATCTCAAGAAAAATAATTTGGTAGTAGGTTCTTTGGGAACATGTGTCAAAACTCGTTGAAAGATTCCTGAGTAAAAATCAAATACAAGTGATGCGCAGACCGGTGACTACCTTATGCGGTCGGCTTGTATATCCCAAGGATATGTCTGACTATCTGCAGCAGAAGAAAGTCGCTTACAAAATCCCACGTGAGGCGTGCGATTCCGTATATTATGGCCGAACCGGAAAGTCCGCCTCCACGCGCATCCAAGAACATCAGTTAACTGTTGAGAGGCGAGACCACCTGTCTCAAATGTCCATGGACACATTCGATAACCGGCATTCTTTTACATGGGACATGACTCGCATCGTCGGCATATGCCCTACCTAAAAAGAGCAAGAACTTTTTGAAGCCATGCACTCAGATGACTCATGCATTAATCGGCATACTGAGTTAAGCGACATATACAAAAATCTCAAGGAAAAGTGGAAGAAACGGTAACCAATCGATACACAATAATGTATGCGGCGGACACCTACTCGCAGAATCGCCGGAGAGGTATTGATTTTTTGGACACATTTGAAATAATGTTACGAATAAAGTTCTTTCTTCTCCCAAAGAACCAACTGTCTTCAAATATATACATAATGGGCAAATGTAACCATAAGTACACTGTCTTCTACATGTTATTAAAGTTTTCTTCCATAAAATAATTAAAGGCTTATACACAAATAATGATAGCTTTTCCGTCACGACTAAATAAAATGTTTTTCAAATTTTATGCTTTTTAAGAAATGTTTGCTCAGTGTTTATTCCAATTTTTTGAATTTAAGTGAGCTAGACATATAGTGCGCATTGGTATTGAAATATTTCTCATAAGGCCAACTTTGGTTAAGGTCAGTATCCTTAATTGGGTTAAAACGAAAACTAAGCCATAAAGGCGTACCACGATTTACTTATATTTCGAAAAGTCACTGAATATTGGGCTTTTTTGCTATGTTCTGCGAAATATTCCTGTAAGCGTGGAAAGTGTATGCACGCTAGAACAGAAATAGTCTTTTGGAGTTGTAAGTACTTTTTCAAGCAAAAAACCAACTAAATTTACGAACTGAGGTTTCTGAAGAAGACAGGACATCTGTTCTTTCGTAAATAACGCGTTTTCTTATATGTGATCCCACTTTGCTTAATGGCAGGGAGAGTGGCTTTCAGACTGTGGAATTCGCTTTGATAAATATCTTTCAGGTAGGGTAACGTGCATTTTTATCATTGACTGCGCAAATGTTCGCATAAAGTTACGGTAAGTACTAATATTGACAAAAGCCTATCCGTAAAAAAGAATTTACTCTTTTACAAATACTTGCACAGTTTCGTTTATAACATAATTCAGCAACATAGTCCGCTTTAGAAGCTTACGTCTCGCTAACCTGTGAAGCAAATAATTAAAACTGTGGGCCGTGCTGATCGGTCTTTCGGATTCCGATCAGTAGGGTTTACCAGTCGGGTCATGATATCCATTCCATAAATTAGAAAAATATCATCTAAATAAAATGTACTTGAGGAAATCACTCGCATATTGACTCCCTAACATCTGCCAAACGTTGAAGAGAAGGAGCACACTTATCCGTCAACTACTGTCGTCCGACCAATAAATGCATATTATATTAAGGGACAGTGTTTGGAGTAATGGCAAAGTAGCCGAACGTGTTAGTCTAAAATCTTCCCACTGTCGTCTATGCTAATTTTACCTTATTTTATGCCTACAGTTAAAATAAACTCTGACCGCTCGGCTAGACGTTGATTAATTCTGAGGCAGCCCTTCGTATCCTAGGATTCGCTGGCCATTCCGATGCAGCGAACCAAATATTTCAATGCTCATTTGAAGTCTTTATTTTAAAATTGAGGTTATGTATGAGTTTTTGGAAACAAAGCCCCCCATATCGTAACCGTTTTCCAACGTTTTAGGTTACGGTCAAAGAAGGACGAAAGACATGCAAGTTCAAAGTGAGAACGAATTTCTACGGAAAAATTCGAGCCTCCATGATCGATAAGAAGAATCCGAAGTCCTTCATGCAATTTACTGAACAGGATATTGAAAAAATCCTAGCGGAAGATCTCCTGCTGCGTCGTTGTGGTCTGCTTGAGCAGGACAAGACCACCAAGACTGTTTACCTTGTCAGCGAGGGGCAGTACACGTTCCGGGTCAATGCCCAGCAGAAAGTTGAGGTGAAGCAGAAGGCAAATGCTACGAATAATCCTTCATCCCAAAAAAACTGTGAGCCTGTATAAACCTCCCTCTCTCCTAAAATGCGAACTGGGCTTGCTTTTCGTCCCATCATGCAGCTCGTCTTGAGGCCCCAACTCTTGTTATCCCAAAAGGGTACATTATTTTTCCTTTTTTCGCAAAATCAAATGCTTTCGAACTAATGGCTTGCTGATACTGTTTTCTTCCGGTGCGCCTGAACAGCTGGGATGGTAGGCGCATTCGAACGATATTCAGACAGAACTGCGCATATGATGGTAAAATTTAGGGAGCACTGCCACATTAAGTCTAGCTCAGTTAGACTTTTTAACAATAACACCAGCTGTTCAGGACTCAAATAGGAAGAATTGGTAGAATGTTCGACAGCAAAGCGTTTCGCATAAACCTCATGTAGGAATTCTTGTCAGCTTGGCATTATCAGGCCAATCAGATGTTTCATCTTTTGCGGTGATTCTGCGTTGTCAACGAACAATTTCCAAAAAAGGGGCAAGCATTTTGAAAATATACACGTTTATTTAAACAAGTTAAGGAGTGCTTATTAAGCGCGATTAACTCGAACTCTTTTGACAAGATAAACTACGGCTCCGAAGTTTGCAGGAAAACATGCCACATAAATTGAATCTAGGAAAGCCCGTTCAAGTGCGACTTAAAACAAATGTTTTTGCCATACTGTTTCCATACTTGATCATCTACTTTTTTTCGTTCAAAAATTGTGCATTATAATCCATTTAAACAATTATTCCCTAATTAAACTCTCCACAAAATGTAAAAAGCCAGAAGGTTAGAAGCATGAAGGGGATGCAAATTTTTCTGAGTAATTGTACACTATGCCTGCATTTGTTTATTTCGCCAGACTGCGACCTATTTCTCCGGACTGCCACTCAAGGGCCCCATCCTCTTTCTCAAAGAGAATACGTACAGCTAATTATTTTTGATTGCGGACACTTTCTGCTTTTACCTAAAAATTAAAATCGTCCCTGGCCGTTTGGTTTATGGTATAGGTGTTCCAAAAATGTCTTTGATTAGGAAGGTTGGATATTTGAGCATTTACTTCATACTGGTGCTTCTAATAATTGGCTTATGCAAATCTAACTTCTGATTTCCGTTAGATTTTTTTAAAATCATCTAGTTCACCAACCTTTATGCAGGAACTGACCATTTTCAAAAGCAACAGAGGCCCATTGGGACATGTTTCGCTTTGGTGGTTTCGACATGTGCACTGTTCATTTGCCTAATGCCGTCACCATTTTTCCCAATTAAATTAATTTTAATGAGATTTCCTCAAGTGAGGTCATTCTTTGTCCATCTTAAACCCTATTGTTGGACGCGAAACAAAATCCATTAGGCTCTCACACATTGCCCTCTAACGGAATTTTTAATTTCCATTGTCTCAATGCGTGTTAGTAGTCCACTAGAATTGAATGTTTGAGCAAAATAAACTGGTGGCAGAACACTCGGTCGGATAATCTTCATTTTCCAAAATAGTTTTTCGGCGCGTACTGACCGCTTAGTGTAGGAGATGAAAATAAAACTTGTTTTTTTCTTAAAAACGATACTCGCATGCCAAGATGACTGGACAATTAACATAAAACCTCCTTAGACGGTGCTGCAGCTGCCAATACTATACTCTTGAAACACATCTATCTAGTTTTTTCATAGGAAGAAAACACGCAAATCAATGCGCGGATGACGCTTTTTATCATATTGTAAGGAAAATAGCTGCTCAGATGGTTAAAAAAACTTAACAAAACCTTGATTTAGGCTCTTTTGCTGCATATTCTACCAAATAACAATGCGTTTGGTTGACTACACAGCTTCTTTAAACGTAGATATCTACATTAATTTCTTTGGTTTACTAGAACCCGAACCGGGGAACGAATAAGAAGGCTTTTCTCATAAATACAACACACGATCTGTATATTGAAAAGTCTTCTTATTCGCCCATTGGTTCGGCTCCTAATGTACTGAAGAAATTATCGTAAATATTCACGATTAAGAGTTGGGAGCGTTTAGAAACCTAACGCCAGATGTGGTTGACATCAAATAAGTCAGTACTACTAAATTTATTACATGTTTTTGACTCGGTAGAAGGGGGAACTGCTCTTCAATACATGGTTTAAATGACTCAAGACAGACGTGCAATTAGTTTATTACCGTTGTTCCTACGTATTTGCTGAAGTTGGAGGGTAAATTTTTTGCACCCTACTGCCAGCCGACTGCAAAACTGCATTTTTTTAAAAATACGCCATACATACTCCCCACTTCGATTTGATTTTTCTTCCTTTCATAATTAAGTTTAGAACTCCATCTGCTGCTCACCTTGTCAGTGACCGGCATTCACTGAATGAAAACTATCCTTCCGTATTAACTATTGGACTTCCAATCTTCCGCAATCTCTTTTAGAGCTCTTTTAGATTTGCTCTACACATTATACATAAAGCATTTTGTTCGCTGCAAAGCGAGTTTAGAAAAGCTCATCAGCCTTGCCACCAAGCAAACTGAATGGAATAAATCCCCACTAGAGCGCACAAGACACTCTTACAGATGCAGTGGAGGCTGTGATGTCCGTTTCTAATTTATTCGGGAGACCAGGACGATTTTATCCACGTATTTCGTTCATTCAGCGAGATAGATCGGTCAACGGCGCTCCCGCGTAACGTTGAATATTCCCAGTTGTAGCCAACGGGGAGCGACTCAGCGGTTCTTTAGTCGAATAATCTGTGCTGAGACCCCTTGTATCTCCCGCTGAGGGTTTAATTTTGGCTACTACACATGGAAATTTAGTCAGGAATTGCTATTAAGTCCCTGCTGACTCCTTAGGCAATTCTTCTCTATTTTCATAAAATTGCTTGTAGTTGTTGCTCTTTTCCACACATTAGGGACTAATGTATTTGGGCTCATAAATTACTCGGTCGGTGAAGTATGAACGACCGGCACCTGCATTTCTAACCTTCTACCCTAGCAAAGGGCGTGCATTTCGCCTCTAAACACCTACTATCCTGGGAAGCACAGTGGATGCTGTCGAGTTTTCCAAGCTTTTGTGTAGAATATGCGTCTTGAAGCATGTGAGGGGACCGCAAGCTAACCAAAGTGAAGGCCTCTAGTAAGCACATTCATAACGTAAACAATGTGTCATTGTACATTGCGTACGATGTTCTAGCATGCGCTTTCGTGACGTTTACTTTGCATACAGCGATAAGCGTTGCTATGCGCGCGGTCGATGATGATATGTCAAAGGCGTATTCTCCTTCCGCATAGTTTGTCGACCTCCACTTTCTTCCTAGCGTGCCATTAACGAAAGTCGTCATTCGAATTTACGAAAATCTAGAAAAAAACTTCAAAACACTTGGAGGATTACTGAAAGGCCTGCACTGTCCGCTGGCCTTCATGCTTTATTGACGATTTAAATTATAAATGCTTCTCTCATGCTCACTAAAATACATGTAATGTGCACTAGGCCTCATCAGACATAGCCCAACTCTTTACTGAGTTAAGTAGACTAAGCTAGAACACAGACAGACGTGAAATGGGAATCCTGCTAATTTATGCGTCCTGGTGTTCCGCCTTCCTTTTTGGTCAACTATGTTGACCTGCCCGTGTATGTAATCATACCTAAAGGGATTCATGAATATTTTCATTGATTCTCGGTGCTTGCGCAAATACCGTTTTAGCTCCATAAAGGGTAGCCAGAAGTTCATGTCTGAAAATCTTTATTTAAGAAGGCAGGTCGGCGTGAATATGAGTACTTTAAATATGCGCGTAGTTCGATGTCTAAGGCTATTTGGCAGTATCCTTTTAACAGGTTACCGATGATTTGGATGCTCACAGTCCATCCGAAATAATTGATATGCTAGCAAAACCCCGGATATAAGAATGCATCATAAGCTGCTAAATTTTTTGCACTTTTCCAATGCGCATATTTGCTTCTTTCAAAGGTTTTCCATCAGGATGGAGTAATACCCTGTAATAGGACTAGACCGCGGTAAATTTTTGTTTTCCTTTCGAAAAATACCTAAAACCATATAGGCAGTGAAATTTAGGGCAATATACACATAAGTCACTTATGCAGAGGCATTTTAGAAAGTTTACATATCTCTTGAGACCAGAATTGCTATAAGCCGAAGGGCGAAATTCTCCAATTTAATAACTAACCATCAGTCAAGCTTTATGGTAAATAGTGCGTAACCTAGCTGGCGTTACCTGTTTCCATTCAAATACAAACTTAGGAATTTCGTCAAATATATACACGGAGTTTTTCTACTGTTCCATCCAACCATTATGTACCCTCTTACAGTAGATAATTTTCCAGCACTCACTTCGCCTCCTCGTGATCCTAGTCCACCTTGTAGGCTAGTACTTTCCTTTCAGACAGGATGGTAATCCAGCGTTTCGTTCATTTCAGCTAGAATTGCAAGGGTCGGGAGAGATGCGCACTTGCTTTTTATTCCTATGTTCTTCAAGTATCGAGCGAAAAGGGTCTGGCAAGGCAAGCTTGATTATTACGGACACGTTTGCAGTGACCGGCCAACCAAACCGTAGACTATGACCAAGAAAATCGGACGTTTAAAACAACGTTAAGTCGTTCGTTATACCAACCGCACTGTCACTCCAGCCGCGATCTCGCGTCCTATTGGTTGTAATTTGGTCTAGTTAATTTTATGGGATGTCGGATGAACTGATTTAAATGTCCAAGATGCAACGTGTGCGAGATTCAGTGACCTCGTGGACAGACCGCAGAAAACGAAGGAGTACAAGTCAAGAGCTATTACTAAGCAATACACTGAACACTGGGATAACTGGGTTCGCCCTTTAATAGGGTTATGGGTAACTGAAGTCAGCAACCGAGAAAGAAATGTCCACTCTAGTCTCCTTTATTTTTGTTGTCTCTCCTCCACTGAGTGTTCCTTGCAATGGCACCGCCTGTGAAATGTGCTCCATGACACAATGGAGTATTTGTGTCCCATGCCACATTTAGAACGTGTAGCGAGTCACTCCCGGGTCGCATTGGTTATACATATACGACAGT